AGAGATTCCGACAACGAGGCGGTGGCAGTTGACGAATCGCTACCGGGGGCTTCAGTGCGATGGCATGCACACGGACATGCGCGGAAGGGACCCGCTCTTCTACGACACGCCTTGCCCGCACGGCGAGGGGGCGTACGGCGCCACCACGGCCTGCAACTGGGTGGAGCCCTTCAAGTCCGAGTTGCAGCCCCTGTGCCCAATGGCGTCTGGGATCGACGACCTGGTGCTGCAGAGCGGGCTGTACGCCCTGTGTGCCTCCCGCGAGAGGCCGTTCTGCTACCAGCACACCGAGTACATCCGCTGAGTCTCTGGTGCCGCCCCCCGCGCTCGCCAGGGGCTTCGCCCGTCTTGTTTGCCCAGGTCGCCCGGGAAGGAGGGGGCGAGGGGAGAGCTGGAGCAGGAGGCGGGAGCGCGGTCGACGGGAACAGGGGGGCTCCGTCCAAGCATCCCTCGGGCTTGGGGCGCGCGCTCGTGCGAGCCCGCAGCACGCGAACGTTTGGTTCTCATGCGGCACTCGTGGGCAGAGCTGTGATTGAGCCGCTCTTCGATGAGAGGTGCGCCTCCTCAGCCTCCTGTTGCTGCTGCTGCCCCCCTCGTTCTCTCCCTCCTCTTCCGCCGCGTCCGCCTTCCGTTCTTCTCGTCCTATTCTGCCGCTCGGATGTTGCATTATCTCTGTCTTCTCGCAGAGTCCTGCCCAGAGCTGGGGCATGTGACACCCAGGGGCGCCTCGGCGCGACACGGTCGGTCTCCCTCTCCCGAAATCGAGGAGGAGAAGGAGGAGAGCCAGGAGGACCATGAGGGGGAAGGGTTAGGATGACGAGTATGATGATGATGATGGTGATGATGACGATGATGGTGATTCTGATGGTACTGGTGATGCCGATGATGGTGGTGAGGACGATGCTGATGAAGATGTGCATGATGACGCTGATGATTATGATGCTGATTCGACTGATGTTGCTGATGATGGTGATGATGGCGATTCTGGTGGTGATGATGATAATGATGATGGTGGTGGTGGTGGTGACGACGGTGATAACGTGCATATTGAACTTGATGACGATGATGGTGCGGATGATGATGATGATGATGATGATGATGATGATGCTGATGATGATGATGATGACGACGTTATTGGCGACGGCAACGACGATGGTTAATATTATGGTCCGAATGTTGTTGGTAATACTGTTGTTGATGAAGATGACGATGATGATGCTGATGCTGATGACGATGCTGATGATGCTGTTGATGATGATGCTGATGTTGGTGGTGATGGTGATGACGATGATGTAGCTGATGCGGGTGTAACTGATGATGATGCTGAGGATGCTTATTAACATGATGACGCCGGCGATTGTGACGGTGCTGCTGCTGATGATAGCGGCGATTGTGATGCTGCTCTTCGTGACGACGATGATGACGGGAATGTTGGTTTTGATGGCGATCATGGTGCGACTGATGGTGATGCCGCTCCTGGTGTTGACGGTTTTAGCGACGGTGACAGCGACGGTAACGATGAGGTCGTTCATAAGTTTGTTGCTATTGCGGGTGGCGATGGTGATGATGATGATGATGATGATGATGATGATGATGATGATGATGATGATGATGATGATGATGTGGATCGTGATGATGATGGTGATGTTGATGATGAGGATGAGGACGGGGATGAGGATGAGGATAATGACGATGCTGATGGTGCTGGTGATGAAATTGATGGGGGTATTGGCCACGACGACGATGCCGACGACGATGATGATGATGATGATGATGATGCTGATGCAACTGCTGATGATGGCAATGATGACGGTGGTGGTGGTGATGCTGCTGCTGGTAATGATTATGAGGCCGATGATGTCGATGCGGAGGGTGATGATTCTGATGCTGGTGATGATGGTGATGCTGATCATGTTGGTGGTGCGAATGATTGTGATGATGATGTTGCTGTTGTTGCTGATGATGCTGCTGATGGTGATGATGATGATGATGATGCTGATAATGGAAATGCTTATGGTGTTGGTGATGATGATGCTGATGATGGCGACCACGACGACGACGATGCTTATGCTGATGCTGATAATGCTGATGATAGTCATGCTGATGCTACTGATGGTGTTGCTGATGATAATGGTGGTGGAGACGCTGATGACGATGATTCTGGTGATTGTGATGATAATGATGATGCTGCTGATGATGACGCTGATGCTGATGATGATGATGATGCTGGTGATGCTGATGGTGCTGATGATGGGTGGTAAAGCTGCTGCTGATGTTGGTGCTGATGACGATGACGATGGCGCTACTGCTGAGGATTATGATGCTGCTGCTGATGCTGATGATGATAATGCTGATGCTGATGCCGATGAGGATGATGGTGGTAAGAAGGGGGAGGGGGAGGGGGAGGGGGAGGTGGAGGAGGAGGAGGAGGAGGAGACGGACGAGGAGAAGGAGGAGGAAGAGCATGAGGAGGCGTCCACCCTCCAATGCGAGCTCGCGGGTCCAGTGCGGCGTAGCCGTCCAGGCGGTAGAGGGGGCTGCTCCACCATCGGGGTCGTCCAGCGTCTCCTCGAGGCTCGCTGCCGAAGGCGAGCTCCGACAGTCCTGTCGTTCGCGTTCGAGCCAAATAGGCTCGAGCCGGGCTGGCACTCGGACTGGGGGAGGAGGGGGAGGAGTGCAGGTGGAGGTGTAGGCGGGGGAGCAGGAGGGGGTGGGGGAGGAGGAGAGAGGAGGAGTAGGGAGGGGGGGAATGGGGGAGGAATATTGGGAGAATAAGCAGGCAGGAGGGGAGAGGAGGAGGGAGGAGGAGGAGGAGGAGGAGGAGGTGAGGGGGAGGAGGAGGAGTAAGATGCGGAAACGAATGAGGGAGACTGAGGAGGAGGTGGAGGAGGAGGGGGACGAGGGGGAGGAGCAGGAGGATGCGGAGGAGGAGGAGTTGGCTGGGGGAACGAGGAGAGTGAGGAGCATGATGGGGAGGATGAGGAGGAGGTCCGTCGTCCCCGCCGTGTTGTCGTTTCCCTCTTCCCCATTCGCACCTCCTCTTGCCTGCCCGGCAGGAGCTGTTGTCCGCTCCGCCGTCGGCGCTTGCCTGGATGAGAGTCTAAATTCCTTGCGCCATCCCCGCAGTCCAGAGGGGGGGGGGAGGAGGAGGAGGAGGAGGAGGAGGAGGAGGAGGAGGAGGAGGAGGAGGAGGAGAAGGAGACGGAGGAAGGAGGACGGAGAGAGTAGGAGGACCGACGAGGAGGAGGGGGACGAGGGAGGAGGCGGAGGAGGAAGAGGAGAAAACGGAGGGGAGGAAGGAGGAGGAGGAGGAGAGGAGGAGAAACAGGGAGGAGTAGGGGAGGGAGGAAGGAGGAGGAGGAGGAGCTGGAGGAGGAGGGAGGAGGAGGAGGAGAGGAGAGGGAGGGAGGAGGGAGGAGGGAGGAGGGAGGAGGGAGGAGGGAGGTAGGAGGAGGGGTGGGGAATGGAAAAGGAGGACGGGGGAGGGAGGGGAGAGGAGGAGGAGGATGGCGCGTCGCGACAAATTGCGCACGTGGCCTCCGTCCACGGCGCCGTCGTTCTGGGGGCTCTCGGAGCGATGATGCTTCTGATGCTGATGCTGATGCTGATGATGATGATGATGATGATGATGATGATGCTGATGATGATGATGATGATGATGATGATGATGATGATGATGATGATGATGATGCTGATGCTGATGCTGATGCTGATGCTGATGCTGATGATGATGATGATGATGATGCTGATGCTGATGATGATGATGATGATAGACGGTGATGATGATGATGATGATGATGATGATGATACTGATGATGATTATGATTGATGACATGCTGCTGATGCATGATGATGATGATGATTTTGATGGTGATGGTGATGGTGCTGGTGGCTGGTATGGTGATGTGATGGTGATGTGATGATGGTATTGTGATGTTGAAGGGGATGCTGATTATCCCGCCGCCCCCCACCCCCCTCTCATCTCCTGCACCTCCCCCCCTCTCTTGCTGTCCCCCCCACCCCCTCTCGTCCTTTCTCCCCCCGCCCCTCTCTCCTTCCCCCCCCCCCTCTCTCCTGTCCCTCCTCCCCCCTTTCCCCCCCCCAAAAAGCCCTCGCTCCTTCCCCCCCCCCTCCTCTCCTGTCCACCCCCCTCTCTCTAGCTGGCCCCACCCCTCTCTCTACTTTCCCCTTCCCCCCCCCCCCTCTCGCCTGTCCCCCCCCCCCCTCTCTCCTGTCCACCGCCCCCCCTCTCCTCCCCCCCATCTCTCCTGTCCCCCCCCCTCTCTCCTGTTCCCCCGGCCGATCTCTCTCCTTCCCCCCCCCTCTCGCGCTGGCCCGGCCCCCCCCTCCTCGCGCTACCCCCTTCTCTTGCTCCTGTCCACCCCCCTTCCTCTCCCCCCCCCTCTCTCCTGCCCCCCCCTCTCTCCTGGGGGCTGCCAGGGGGGGGGAGGTGCCGAGCACTGAATTCGTCAGTTAATTACGTGCCCCCCTCCCAAGCAGAGCTAAAGATCATGCTGAAGCAGAGCTTCAGCTTAGACTTCTTAAACTCACACTCCGGATCGGAGGATTTGAAGGTCGCGGGCTTGGCGATCAGACAATACAGGGTTGACATTTGCGTCGTTGTTCAAATTTATTTGCGGCCGTTCGGGAGATGTGGAGTCAGGTCTGACGTTGTTCGACGCGATCTTCGCAAGGCCAGCGTGGTTGATATCCGCATGTAATGTACTTGCGCATAGCTTCGGTAATATCGCCAGTTCCAGCGCTAGCACCGCACCCCTGTACACCACACCCCTATCCCCCTCCAAATCAAGCCCACCCATTAAGCTCTGTCTGATGGAAAGAGGACGAGGAGGAGAGGCGCGCTCGAAGGTGTCGGCGCACCCGCGCGAACCTGTCCGCAGCCTGAAGCCTGAAGCCTGAAGCCTGAAAGCCTGAAAGGAGGAGGTGGAAGAGGAAGAGGAAGAGAAGGAGGAGGAGGAGGAGGACCACCGCCGTGCCAGACCACGAAGTTCGTGATGCGGTTCCTTGCGCTGGCTGGCGGTGGTGGGGCGGAGTCGTCAATGTCGGACGTGGAGCGGCAGGTCCTTCAGTCGATCCCGGTGCTGGAGGCGGTTCGCGGAGCGGGGAGCAGGGGGAGGAGTCGGAGCAGGACCAGCAGGAGGTGAAGGAGGATGATCAGGGGGAGGGGAGGGAGTTGGAGGGGGAGGAGGGAGGGCGAGGGGGACGAGGAGGGAGGGGGGGGAGGTCGAGGAGCAGGAGGCGCAGGAGGAGGAGGAGGAGGAGGAGGAGGAGGAGGATGTTGAAATGGACACTGTCTCCCTGGCCCCCCGAGCTGCCCCTCTCACGCCGACGCCGATTCGACCGCAACCGTTTCGGTTTCAGAGCTCTTGAGTCTCGGGCAGAAAAGACTTTCAGCTTTCTCTCGACGGCGGCAGCCGTCAGTTGATGGTAAGCGGAGCGGACTGGTTCGCCACGGTCTGCTCCCGCCTCCGCGGCTCGCGGGGGACTGCTTGGCGCGCCCCGTGGCTGGGGCTGCTGGCCTGGCTTGCAGGGAGCGGGCTCGGCACCACGGCGCAGGTTGTGGCGGACCTGCACAAGCTGGACCACCAGGGCGGAGTCTGGCACCGGCGGCGCTGCAGCATCGCGTCCGCCATCATCACGAGCTCGATCGCTGCTGCCCTGGTAGCCAGCAGCACCACGAGCAGCACTACGAGCAGCACCACTGCAACTCCAAGAGGTGTCATGGCGCGAGCCTCGCGTCTCACCTTCGAGAAGGACATCCCGCTCTACGACGGCGACCCAGCGCTGTTCGAGGAGTATCAGGAGCGGGCTAAGGATGCCTTCTACGGTCGCATGGGCGACGAAAAGCAGATCGCGACGCCAGTCAACCTCAGGAATGGTCTCTCGGGCACGGCCTACGACGCCGTGAGGTCGCTGAAGCACGACGACTTGCTCACGTACGAGGAGGAGACCCTCGAGAGCGGTGGCAAGGGCGGCGGCACGATCACTCGCAAGAAGGCGACCACCGCGGGCCTGGAGATGCTACTGCGGGTGCTCGGCGAGTCGGTCTTGAAGGAGAGACCTGTTCGCGCGGCAGAGCTCTTCGACGGCGCGCTTTACGACAAATCCGTGTGGAGAGGCTCTGGCGAGAGCATGCAGGAGTACATCACGAGGCGGACCAAGGCGTTCGACGATCTCAAGAAGGTCTCGCAGGAGACCAGCATCTCGGACGACCTCCAGGCCTACCTGCTGCTGAAGTTCAGCGGGCTCGACAAGTCGGACCACGCCAGCATCGTCAGCAGCGCGGGCAACAAGTACGACAAGGAGGCGTTCGCCAAGGCGCTGCGCATGCAGCACTCGGGTATCCACGAGCGGGAGCGGAACTACCGGAAGGATGGCAAGCAGGAAGCGCACCGCTCGGACCCGAAGCCGCAGAGGTTCCAGCAGGGCCAGCACAGGCAGCGGCAGGCGTGGCAGGCCGAGCGTGACGACGAGCACGAGCACTACGACGACAACGACCACCAGCTCGACAACTCCTACGACGACCAGCCCCTGGAAGAAGAGGTCTACCTGGGCGAGGAGGAGGCCACCCTCGAGGAGATCGATGAGATGGACCCGGAGGCGTCGGAGAGCTTCGCGGCGATCGTCCAGAACAAGCAGAGGTTCCAGGCGCGCAGCGGCGGTCGCGGGAAGGGAGGTCGAGGGCGCAAGGGCGGAGGTCGCGGCGAAGGCAGTTCGAGCTCGAGGGATCGAGCCAGAGGTGGAAGTGCTCCCGGTGACAACGGTGAGCGGCGTGCCAGGATCGAGAAATTGAAGCGGACTACGAGGTGCGCCAGCTGCGGGCAGATCGGACACTGGCACGGGGGCCCGGGCTGCCCGAAGTCATCGAGATCGGCGGCACCACCATCGGACAGGCCGAAGAACAGCTACTTCAGCTTCAGCGACTTCAAGGGCGACGGCTCCAAGACCGGCGAGGTCAGGATCGCGGAGATGTTCGCGGCGTTGGCGGCTTCGCCCTCACCTACTGGGCTCGGCGCCCGCCCCAAGCCCAAGGCAAGGTCACGCGGCAACCCTCAAGGAGGTAAGGAAGGCGACGGGACCCTCAAGGCCAGCGCGGACGACGGAGCTGCGGGACTCCCGAGGAGGCGAGGCCAGTCACTTCCAGTCATGGCGGAGCCCTGCGAGCACGCGCTGGCGGCGGACCCAAGACTGTTCAAGGGCGCGAACGGGGCGCACAGGTACCTCACTTGCCACAGGTGCCTGCCCAACCGGGTCGGCATCCACGTGGCCAAGGCCCACAGGTCTAGTGGCGAGGAGCTCTGGAAGTACCTCATGGCCCCCCCACTGTTCACCCCGAAAGGCAGGGCCATCTACTCGCGCATGACCCCTGCGAAGACGAAGCCAGCCGAGAGAGTCTTCAAGGTGTACCAGAGCATCCCTAAGTCCAAGGAGCTGGCGCCAGAGCTGATGACCAAGCGCGCGATGGAGATGAAGGTTCCGTCTGACGACGAGGAGCTTGAGCGCGCCCCGAGGGTCGAGGACTACCCGCACGAGCTGGACAGGCCTGAGGAGGAGGACAGCGTGTACGTGGCGTACCCCTCGGACTTCGACCAGGACGTCAAGGGCCTCGATGCCGAGCAGGTACCACTCGGCGGTGAGAAGATCATGGCCGGCAAGTACAGGGGCTACACGTTCTCCGAGTTCGTGGGCGGCGGTGACGCTGCACGCGCGTATGGCAACGCTCTCATCAGGCACGCGATGTCCAGCGACTCGACTCGGCTTACCGTCGACCAGTACCGCTTAGCCTGGTTCCTTATCTACCTGATGGCGCTGGGCGAGTGGGACCCCCCCTCTCAGCATGAGGACGGGTCGTTCCAGGTGCTGATGGTCAACGGCTCCAAGGACGACGTCGAGGTCTACGGCTCCAGTTTCAGGGACCCGCCTGGCACCGCCGTGCTTGACACAGCCTGCCAGATGACCATGCACGGCGCGCCCTGGAGGATCAGGTACGAGAAGGGGCTACCCGACCGGAAGCTCAAGCCGATTCCCAGGTCCCAGCAGACCAAGTTCCGAGGGGTCGGCGGCGATGCGTGCAGCGATACGGTCTACAACATGCCGGCTGGCATCGCCAACAACCCGTTCGCGATCGAGTCGGCGGAGCTCGACCAGGACGCCCCCCTGCTAATCTCCAAGGACACCCAGTCGAAGCTAGGGGCGGTGATCGACTTGGCGAACCCGTTCGCCACTTCACCGAGATCGGCGCCTACAACGTTCCCTTATTCAAGACCAGCGGCGGCCACCTGGGCGTCAGCGTGCTGGACTTCCCGGATCCCGGGGTCTTCGGCCCCGAGTTCCAGGTCTACATCGCCAAGGACGGGCTCGGCGGCGGCTTCGACATGGTGGAGTACCTGGAGGCGGAGATCGCGATCCCGACCGCGGAGGTTATGGCGACGGAGACGGTCTCCGAGAACCCCAACGAGATCGACTGGGACGGCGACAGGTCCATCAGGATGGCCAGCTCCAGGCGTGCTAAGAAGATGAAGGCCATGCATGACGACTTGTACACCATCGAGTCCAGGACGCTCGACTTCATGACGGGCAATATCGACAGGAAGCGGAGGCTACCTAGGGGCAAGACCTTGCTGAAGCAACTCTTCTGCGGCCAGTTCGGCCTCACTCTACTCGCCTCCACCACCTTCGGCTACAACTGCGGCCAGCCACTGGATATCGAAGACGGCTGGGACGGCGCTACCAGGAAGGGGCGCCAAGCGGCACGGAGGCAATTGCTGGAGGAGGACCCCTACGTGACGGTCATCACCATGCCTTGCGGTCCGTGGGGGGCGTGGGGTCGATGCAACTTGTTCGAGGGCGGCGCTGCAGCTGCTACTGTTCAAGAAGCTCGGGAAGCGACGAGGCCACTACTCATGCTCTCGGACCAGATCGTCGCCGACCGGGTGAAGCGCGGGATGCGCGTCTTGATGGAGCAGCCCCTCGGGTCGAGTGCCTACTTCGAGCCCGAGATGGCGAAGACGCAGGAGCTGGTGAAGAAGGGCCTCCTACTGGAGTGTACTCCGCGCGGGTGCCAGCTCGGCTACGCCGATGAAGAGACCAAGGACGCGCACTACAAGCCGATGAGGCTCTTGACCACCAGCGTGGCGCTCTATGAAGCCTTGCAGGGCGAGAAGTGCACGAGGGACCACCACCACCTGCCGTTGGAGAACCAGAAGAAGACAAGAGCGGCGGCAAAGTGGCCCGACAAGCTGGACAGGCTGGTACCACACGCCATCGAGCAGCAGATCGACCTCGACGTCGACACGCAATAATCCCAAGGTCTCGGTGTACTTGACAGTTTCCCAGTCGAGAGCCAGCCTGATGCCAAGAAGAGAAGGTTGCGTGGCAAGCAACCCCCGAAGCGTCCTCCAGCTGAGGACGGGAGTCAGGGCTTCCGTGAACCCGGACGTCCACCTGAGGACGGGCCTGCTACGGATCCTGACGGAGTTCGTGCTGAGCAAGCCGCAGGCCTCGAGCCAGTGCTTCCAAGGAGGAGCAGGAGCGCAGAGCGAGGTGGCTCACCTACGACCCCGCGGTCAGGCGCGACATCAGGAATCTGCACGTCAACTTCGGCCACCCGACCAACGTGACCCTGGTGAGGTGCTTGAGGAGGTCAGGTGCCAAGAAGGAGTTCCTGGACTGCGTGTGGGACTTCAGGTGTGACGCCTGTGGCGACATGATCAGGGCGAAGCACGTGCGCCCGGTCCGCATGCCGGGTCGCTACCAGTTCAACTTCCACGTGATGCTGGACACGCTGTTCGCACACGACGCCGAGGGTAACACCCACGCCTTCCTGAACATAGTCTGCGGCGGTACGAGGTTCCAGGTTGTTTGGTATCTCCACAAGGGTACGTACGCGCCCTCTGCCAAGGTCGCGTTAGACACGTTCCTGACGGTGTGGATTAGCTGGGCTGGACTGCCCCAGTCCATCTTCGTGGACCGCGGCAAGGAGTTCGCTAAGGAGTTCCTGGCCCACATGCATGAGAACGGCGTGGAGATCCAGAATGCGGCCCTGGAGGCGCACGAGCAGCTCGGCAGGATCGAGAGGCTAGGTGGCGTCTGGAAGGAGGCGTGCCATCGCGTGGTGCAGGACGCCCAGATCACGAAGGAGAAGGACCTGAGGAGCGTGTGCGGCGTCGTCAACCAGGTGCGCAACGAGACGGTGATCTACGACGGCTACGCACCCGCCAACTGGGTACTAGGTACTCGCGGCCTGCGGGTACCAGGTTCAATGCTTCAGGACTCGGAGGCCGAAAAGCTCCAGGTGCAGGAGGCGGCGCTCGACCCGGAGTCCGCCATGGCATCCAACCTGTTGTGGCGCGAGTGCGCCAAGGTCGCCTTCGTGAAGATGGACAACGACAGTCGCGTGAGGAGGGCCAAGCTGGCGAGATCGACACCTACGAGAGTGCCGTTCCCTGTGGGCGCCTACGTCTACTTCAGGCGCACCCACGTCAGGCCGGGTGAGTCTCCTGCCCTGTACCATCGTTGGTTCGGTGTTGCGCGTGTCATCGGCCACGACTACCGCGACCCCGCGAAGATGGCGGACGGCGTCGAGTCCACGCTCCGACCTGCGGCCGTGCAGGGGAGCCCTCACGCGATTTGGCTACGGTATGGTGGCGGTGCGGTCTTGGCAAGGCCGGAGCAGCTTCGGTTCGCGACGGAGGGCGAGTTGATCACCTGGGATCGGATGCCTGCTGATCAGCGTGGAGCGGCGCTTCCACGAGGGCCTCGAGGATTCCTGGACGTTCGTCGCGAAGGCCTCGAGGACGGAGAGCTGACACGGCGAGCTCACCACTACAAGGGCGCGACGCATCTCAAGATGATCCGCGACCTGGAGAGGATCTCACTCCCGGAGTTCCAGAGCACCAGCCTGCAGCTGAGCTACCTGAGCCAGTACTACGTCAGGGACACGACCCAGCAACAGCCGGGCTTGATCCAGGATCTGGCGAGGCTGGAGAAGGAGAAGTGGAGGAGATGAACGAGGATAACGACGCGACGGCGACTTCACCTCCTCCTGAACTTCCCGAACCTTCCGAACTCCCAGATCTCCCAAGGCTTCCCGAACCACCCGAATTACCTGAACGGCTCCCTGGATACGGGCCCCAGCGGGCCCGCGCTCGACTACATCGTGGTGGCGGCCCCATGGCCGGTGGAGCGTACCTTGCTGAGTACGACTCGGACGAGGTGTACCACGGCTGGATAGCTTATGCGTGGTTAACGGGACGCTCCCGCGGGAAGGAGATCAACCCGACGGACCTGACCAAGGCCGAGCGGAAGGAGTTCGACGCGAGCACGGCCAAGGAGTGGGAGAACTGGCGTAATTTCAGGGCGGTGACCGTGGTTATCGGAGATGATGCGAAGGAGCTGCTGAAGAGGGCGAAGCCTATTCCGTCGAGGTGGGTTCACACCAACAAGAACGAGTACGACCCCAAGCTACCGCTCAAGGCGAAATCGAGGCTGGTGGCGGCTCGCTGCATGTCCGGACGGATTCGCCCACATCTTCCCTGCTGGTGTTTCACTTGATCTGCAGCACGGCGGCTAGGAAGCACGGGTTACTATCGAAGCTCGACGCGACGAGCGCCTACCTACAAGGAGATGATGTTGACCGCATGTTGGTGCTACGACCGCCCTCACCACTACCTCCTGGAGTACCACCTGGTTTCCTGTTCGTGTGCCACGGGGCGATCTATGGCACTAAGGATGCTGGGCGGAAGTGGTGGAGCAAGCTACGAAGGACGCTGCGCGGCAACTCGTGGCAGGAGAGTCGTTTGGAGAGAGCCTTCTTCATGCTCTTCGAGGGTGACGTCCTCGTTGGCCTTGTCGGCACATACGTGGACGACCTGTTCGCGACCGGAGATCCGAACAGCAAGCTCTACAACGACACGATGGACGAGCTCAAGAAGGCACTGCTGTTGACGGAGGAGAAGCCACCCTTCAGGTACTGCGGCAAGGACGTGGAGCAGGCAGAGGATTTCTCGATCAGGGTCTCGATGCAGCACTTCGTGGAGCAGATGGAGGAGTTGCCGATGCTACCGACCAGGCGGAAGCAGATCAAGGTGCTGGCTACGGACGAGGAGAAGAGCTTTGCGGAGTCGGTGATTGGTTCACTGGGATGGCTCTCGCGACAGCTGCGGATGGACGTTTCTTTCGGCTACAGTTGGCTTGCACAGCAGAAGAACACCATGACGGCGCAGGACCTACTGGAGATGAACAAGCTGGTGCGGTACTGCCATGAGACGAAGGACGTGTGCCTACACTTCCGTAGCGACTTCATCAAGAACGACGCCGACCTTCGGGGGTGTGTGTTCGCCGACGCGACAGCAGCCTCAATAACATCGACGAGAATCGGAGCGCTGGGCGAGAAGGTGAGGTCGCAGTGCGGTGTTGTGTGCCTGTTGTGCGACGACGGCCTGTACAATGAAGGCGGTGGACCTGCTCACTTCTTGGACTGGGGCAGCTCCAAGATTCGGAGGGTCTGCCGGACATCGATGGCGGCAGAGGCCCACGGTTTGACCGAAGGCGCGGAGGCGCTGGAGTGGATCAGGGCATTGTACTACGAGATGGACAAGCCGGGCCAGCCGATCGCGGAGTTGGTTCATGACAGTGCGACGTTGATGCCCGTCAAGTGGTTCGACGACGCTAACAGATTGGTGAGCCACTTGCTGGCGGACGCTGGTCAGGTCCGGGTTCGAGTGGTGGTGGCCTCGCTTCGAGAGCTTCTAAGCCAAGATGGAGTCGACCTGGAGTGGTGCGATGCCAGTGTGCAGCTCGCAGACGCGCTGACGAAGCTCGAAGCGGAGAGAGGCTACCTGACGAACGCCATGCGCGACGGCTACGTGACGACGACCGTCTCCTCCGAGGCGGCGGCCACGAAGGAGGCCATGCGTGCTGCACGGCGGCGCCGTGCCGATGAGCGTAGGACCCAGCCCGTCGCATCTGTGCGCGAGAGCCTGTCCTGTGCGACGCGTGCCCCGCGCGGGGGCCAGCCCCGCGTGGCTTTGCGATCTACCTGGATCGCCTTTCATATTTGGCCCAGCTGGGCCGCTTCCGCATCAATGAAGCTACGCTCGGAATCTCGAATTTCGGGCCAGTATGACAGCGAGGGCGGGCGTTGAAATGGACACTGTCTCCCTGGCCCCCCGAGCTGCCCTCTCGCGCCGACGCCGATTCGACCGCAAACGTTTCGGTTTCAGAACTCTTGAGTCTCGGGCAGAGAAGACTTTCAGCTTTCTCTCGACGGCGGCAGCCGTCAGTTGAGAGGAGGAGGAGGAGGAGGAGGAGGAAAGGGAGGAGAGGGAGGAGGATTGGGGGAACGCGGTCGAGGGGGGGGAGGGAGGGAGGGAGGGAGGGAGGGGGGATGGACCTCCTCCTCATCCCCCTTCTCCTTGTCCGCTCCGCCCCCCCTTTCTCCTTATCCTCCTCCCCCTTCTCCTCCCCCCCCTGCTGTTGCTGCTGCTGCTGCTCCTCCTCCGACTCCCCCTGCTCCTCCTCCGCTTCCTCCTCGAGGGCGTATTGCATAGTCCGCGCCGCTTCCGAGGGCAGGGGTCAGTCCAGTGCAACGAATGCACGTGCGCCGTCAGATGGATCAGAAGAGAGGCTGCGCACGATGATCCAGATGAGACGAAGCCTGCAATCCGCCAGCTTTTTCAGAGGAGGACAAGACACGACTGAGAGCCGAATGGGGCAAAGAGGTTCAGAAAACGTTGCGGGCCAGCCGCTCCAAAGCTCAGCTGGCGAAGCTGGACAAGGCGCTATCCGATTCTCGCGGCGTGCAGGATCTTACCGCAATTCTGGGCAAGCGGGAGAAGACGCACTTCATCGAGATGAGAGACGCAGACCTCGCAACGACGAGACATGCGTCGCCGAAGTGTTTGCCAACTTCTGCGAGGAGTTGCATGCGAGCGCCAGGGGTGGCGCCCGTTCGAGCCATTACGAGACAGACAACGCCGCCTCGATCGAACCGTTCACAGCCGCGGAATTGGACGAAAACCTCAGACAGATGAAGCAAGGAAAGGCAGCCGATGACCACGACATGAAGTCTGAGTTTCTGCAAATTGATCCCCCCTTACTTCGGAATTCGATTATTGACGCTTTCAACGCTGTTCTCGACCCCTCTCAAGGGATGCCTGAGGGCTGGCCAACATCGCGGATCGCAGTTTTTGCAAGAAAGGTGATGCAGCCCTGCGGACAAAGTAAAGACCTGTAGCGATATTGGCAATTATGTAAAGATTTGCCCTTCGCATGTTGTGCGGCCGCCTGGGCGACGTCCTCATTCGTGGTCAACCAGTAGACTTAAGCTGCATATAGAAGAAGCGTTCGCACCATCGACCACCTGCTTGTCATGGCCATGATTTTTGAGGCGAGCGACGCGCACAATGTAGAATTGTGGATTGGCATGATAAGCTTCGAGAAGGCTTTTGACACGGTCGAGCACGACACCCTGTGTGCTACCTTAGCAGTGCAGGGCGCGCCGATTCCGCTTACCAGTATCTTTAGGAGGTTTTACGCGTCGCAGAGTTTCACGTCTGTTCATCGTTATCATCGAAGCCATCTTCAGCAAATTCAAGGAACGATGGAACACACACAACAGCAGGCGGAGAGGCATCTACCACGGCCTGGTCGTAGATGACCCTATTTGGACCCGCGAGCAAACCCACGGTTCGCAGACGACGTGCTGCTTCCATCTGGTTGCAAAGGAGACGTCGCCAGGATGGTGACTGACGTGGCGGCGGAGGCCAGGAAGTACGGTCTAAATGTGCACTTTGGGAAGACTTTCGTGCTAACGAACTCGCCTTCCAGACCGCGGCATTTTAAATGTGGAGATCAAGTCGCGCGCGTGCTTCAGCGCGGCGAATCTGAGAAATACCTGGGCCGGAAGCTGTCGCTGGACGAGTTCCACAGCACAGAGTTTGACAGTCGAGTTGCCGCTGTTAGGGCGCCACTTCATTCTTTGAAGAGTATTTTATGTGACAGGCGGCTGCCTCAGTCTCGCAAGATGAAATTGTTGCTAACGTGCGTGGCACCGTGCCTGCTGTACTCCGCGGGAACATGGACATTGACTGCAAAGTGAAAACAACTCTAGCCGACGCAGCATGGTCCGCCAGATCGGGGGCGTTTGGGGGCGCAGCCACGAAACCTGGGTAGACTACGTGCAGCGCGCCACGCATACCAGCACAAACCTCGCCAAGCAACGCGGCATCCAAGATTGGGCTTCAAGCTTCTGGAAGCAAAAGTGGTCCCTGCCGGGCATGCTACCCACAGCGAAAGATGGGCGCTGGGCAGTCCAGCTGGTGGATTGGAAGCCTTGTTTCAGGGTTGACGCCAAGAGGAGCGTCGGCGGCCAGCGCAAACGCTGGGCAGATGTCTAATTCTTCGAGCACGCGCGAGGCACACTCCGGCCCCGCGCAACGCCGGGGCAGGCGGGGCGCCCGCCTCCCCCACGGGCCGCTTTCTCTCTCCTTTTTTTTTTTTTTTTTTTTTTTTTTTTTTTGATTTTTTTGTTTTCTTCTCTCTCTCTCTCTCTCCCTCTATTTCTCTCTCTCTCTCTCTCTCTCTCTCTCTCTCTCTTTCTCTCTCTCTCTCTTCTCTCTCTCTCTCTCTTCTCTTCTCTCTCTCTCTCTCTCTCTCTCTCTCTCTCCTCTCTCTCTCTCTCTCTCTCTCTCTCTCTCTCTCTCTCTCTCTCTCTCTCTCTCTCCTCTCTCTCTCTCTCTCTCCTCTCTCTCTCTCTCTCTCTCTCTCGCTCTCTTCTCTCATCTCTCTCTCTCTCTCTCTCTCTCTCTCTCTCTCTCTCTTTCTCTCTTTCTCTCTTCTCTATTCTCTCTCTCTCTCTCTCTCTCTCTCTCTCTCTCTCTCTCTCTCTCTCTCTCTCTCTCTCTCTTCGCAGGCGGCGAAGAAACAACCACGGGCCCGCTGGGATCTACATGGCGAGCCTCTATGGGGTCGCTGGAGGAGACAGCACCGACTTGTTTCGGCTAGCTGACTGCGCCGCCGCGAGGGTCGGCACAGCCCCGTATTTCACTTGCATGGACGCCAACACGAACATCGACGACAATCCACACCTGCTGCACATGATGCAACACGGATGGTTTAACGTCGCTGAAGGCACACCTGACCACACCATGCACACATATGGCAATATCCCTGACTGGGACCGCGTCACCAAGTGTCCCCGCACTTCGCGCATCGATTACATCATCGCCAACCAAGCGGCGCGATCCCTTGTCACCGACTTCTGCTATCTGCGGGACTTGCCAGCGAAGTCCCACGTTGGCCCGCAGGTCACGCTCGACCTTAGCCGCCTCGACCATACGGCCCGACGCCTTCTAGCCCCCACGCCTTACCCTCCTAACGATGGAGCTCATGAGGGCCACGAACTTCAGGCATTAGGGACCCTTATCGCAGGGCGATACCAGGACCGCATGGAGCAGGCCGACACACGCGACGATGTGGAACGCATGTTCGCCCTGGCAAACGAGGCCAGCCATGAGTACCATCTCACTCGGCTGCGCGACCTGCCACCTCCGCCGCCAGACCACCCAAAAAAGAAGCCCCCTACCATGCACGGGCTCACACCCACGTTCGAGGAGCGACCCGCTGTCCCCCGCGCCTTTCCCACCTACGGAGCTTCCACGATTCACATGAACCGCCTTCGCAAGCTCCATCGGCAACTTTGTGAGCTTCGCTTCATCGGACAGCACCACCATATCGACTGCCGTGCCATCCCGCCGTACCTGGCGCAGCGCATCGACTGCACGTGGACCGCGGCCCGCCTTCTCTGTCACAAGTTGCGCCCCACGGTCCTCCTGGCCTTTCCTGAGGCCTGGAACCCCGACGAGCCAGCACCACACGGAGAGCACCTGGACCGTCTGATCCAAAACCTTGACTCAGAGCTGGCGCGACGTGCAAACCGAGCCAAAGCTGAACGCATCAAGATTTGGGCTGAGGGTGTCCGCGAGCCAAGCGGGCGAAAGGCGGCCATATACGCACGGGCTGCTGACTGCTCGCCCACGGCGTACCTCCGCACGCCCACCACTCCCGACGATACGCAACTCCACTGCGACACCACCGCCTTCAACCCTGACCAAGCTTGCACGGACGATAGTGATGCCGACACCGACGCTGGCGGCTTCAGCCCCAGCGACGGTAGCTCGCTCGACACGGACAACGACGAAGGTCACACTTGTGACCCACCACCTGCCCAGGTTCCCGACGCCCTTCCCGCCAACGCCATTGTTGCCAATACCAAAGACATGCTTAAGCTCATGGTCGACACCTGGGAGCCCATCTTGGGTAGGTACCGCGCTCGTGCAGGTCATGATGCCGAAGCCATGCCGACGTGGGCAGACTTCTACGACGAGTACCGACAAGAGTTGCCTACGCCATCACCAGCAGTCCCTTTCCACCTCGCCGACGACCAACTCATCCACTTCATTCGCACCCGTTCACCGTGCCGCGCGGGGGGACTCGACGGCTGGACAACTAAGGAGGCCAAGGAGTTACCCGACGACATCCTTCGCCTCTTCGCCAGCGTCTTACGTGCTATGCAACGCACTGGCACCATCCCAGAACCCCTCCTTCACGTGCCAAACCCGTGCCTCCGAAAAGGCCGAGGGGAACTCCCGACGGACCAACGACCCCTATCGGTTCTTTCCGTTTGGATGTACGCGTGGGAAGCGCCAGCCTACCGTAGCCTCACGGACTGGCGGAAAGGATGGACCCACGCCACGAGTTTCGGCGCTGTTCCCAAAGCTACCATTGGGGATGTCAGCACCTCTCTCGCCCTGCGCATCGAGCACGCCAGGGCTTTGCTCCTCCCCTTAGCTGGAGCTGCCCTAGACCGACAGAAGTGCTTCGATTACCTCATCACGGACATCTGCCTTAACCTTGCGCTGCACGCGGGGTGCCCTCAAGACATCGTTACTGTCCGCCGAAACTTCTACAATCACCACAAACGCTACATCCGCATGAACGGAGCGTACTCTAAGGACTTGGCCAGGACTAACGGTCACCTCCAGGGAAGTTCGTGGTCCCTGGACGACATCAAGCTGCTCATGTGCGTGTGGACTAAGAGGCAGCATCGATACGTTCCTCGATCGCTCAGCACTACCTTTGTTGGCGACAGCAACTCCACTACCCACACCGCGTCTGAGCTGCAGAAATCTCTTGACGAAACCGCCAAGTTTGATCGATTCTCAGGTCAACGCATTCACCCTGGTAAAGTGGCAGGGTGTGCGCTCACCGACGAACTTCGCGCCGCCGTCACCCAGCTCACTCTGGCGGAGCGCCCCCTACGTGTGGTCGATTCCTTCAAGCTCGTCGGAAGTTACATCAACGCCGAGGCAGCGCCGGCTCCAGCCGCGCTTAACCTCACGGCCACCGCAGATGCCCGTGTTCGGAGGGCGACTATTCGCCTGCCGCGCATTGGCAAGCTCCCATCGCCGATGCTTATCAAGGCGCGGCACGCCCGTTCCCTTGCTGCCAGTGTCTGCACCACGGGCACCGACATTCAAGCACCATCGGGCCCAGCCAAAACTGCCTACAACCACGCCCTCAAGGCGGCTATCCGCCCCAAGGGGAACAAGCGGGTCGAGCTCTGGACTCTCATGGCCGTGTGCGTCCCAGGACACGCCCTGGAGATCGACGCCATCACGCAGCGTGAAGCATTCCTGTGCCTGCGGCGACAGGTTAAACGCGACGTTACACTCTGCGGGCTCGCCAGAGACCTCCAACACCACGTCCAGACCCTGTTTGGTGGAGGGCCCGTCGGACGACTCGTCCAGTCGCTTCAGCAGCTCCGATGGACCTGGCCCACATTTGGCATCATGTACGACGACTGGGGCTGCCAGATCAGCTGGCTGAATTTACCCCAAAACGCCTTCCTTCACATGCTGCGGGCCTCGCAACGCAGAGCCTTTCTGCGGAGGATCAAGCCGCGGCGACACGACCTTGGATACCTTGCCTCTGTCAAACAGGGCCTCGACCTCTTCGCCAGCACGTGGCTCGCCCGAACTAAAGGAGCAGCCAAATGCACTGCCTGGCAGCTGGCGCTCCTCCTGAACTACCTGTCGGGCGGGGACCACACCCAACAGCGACGATCCCGATCAAACACGTCAGCTGACCCCAGCCCCATCTGCCGATACTGCGACGAGGAAGAGGAAACTCAGGAGCACACTGTCCGCGACTGCAAGTGCTGGGCCCGAGAAAGACTCCCTCTCACCACCCTCATCAGTGACGACCAGTGGGCCCGTCTCCCGCCGCACACAAGACACTGCGGGCTCTTCGACGAAGACCCAGCCCTCCTCGACCTGCAGGCCGACCTCGCGAGGGACCCGCTGCCACAGCCCATGCCGCGGCCCCCCCCTGAGGGAGATCCTGCGGCTTCAGCCCAGGACACCTACACCACCTACCTGGACCACGACACTGGTTGGACATGGGTCTACGCTGCCACAGACGGTGCATGCACCAACCAAGCCATCCCTTTGCTAGCACGAGCGGGTTACGGCGTCTACTACGGCATCGACCATCGCATGAACTACAGTGCACGCGTCCACGGCCTAACGCAGAACGCCCAGGTTGCGGAGACCCTCGCCATCGTCCACCTTACGGCATGTGCCGAACGGCCCGTGCACGTTTTCGTTGACAACCAGGCGGTGGTCGATGGGTTCCAAAGCATCATCGACGGACATCCAGCGCCGCAGGGCACGCACGTGGACCTCTGGGAAAAGATCCACCGATGTGTTATGGCCAAGCCAAACATGTTCCGCGTCGAAAAAATCGCCAGCCACCTGGGAGACATGGGCATCGACCTTGGGCTCATCGGGCCCATTGCGGAGGAGTTCAACCGTCAGGCTGACGCCCTTGCCACAATGGCGGCACGCACTCACAACCTTCCAGACGACATTGTCGAAGCTGCCAAAACACGACATCGCCAAGCGACCGTGCTCCATGGGGTCGCTGTCGCTATCTACGAGCGCAGACACCGCACTCTCCCGCTCCCACACCGCAGGGCTGGGTTTACAGCTGCGGAACTCAGCAAAATGGAACCAAACCCCCTGCTGTCGGACCAGGCACCACCCGCGGCTGGACCAGACATCCCGCAGAACCCGCACGAGCTCTGGGCCGAGGCCCAACGGGCGATGTACGACGAACAGGAGGACGACCCGTTCGGCTTCGGCGGGGGACTAGACTTCCTGGACGACGGGCCAGCCAGCGCCAACCTTGCCCCGTCGGGCATCCGCACGACGCCCACCTCGACTCCGCCACCGAGAGCGGCACCGCACCCACATGATGACGTCGCTCACCTCCAAGACGCCGATGAACAGGAGGACGACCCGTTCGGCTTCGGTGGGGGATTGGACTTCTTGGACGA